CCCCCTACTGTAGTGGTGGTCCTTGAGGGAAAACACTCTTCACTTCATCATCATCCTCTCAAATTTACTTTCCCTTTGATTTAATCCTAGGGATCACTAGTGAAGCTTTTGATTGCATCTCGATCATCTTCTTCAATATATCCTCCAATTTCTCAAAGCGATTCTCGAAACAGTTCTCAAAGGATGAGAGCCTTCCTTCCACGCCGGAATATTTTTCCTTCATGCTAGCCCTGAGTTGATCCATCTGGCCTTCCTACGCATCCATCTCCTTTGTTGTCATTTACCTCGCTTTGATACCAATTTGATATGCTTTGGAAATGAAATGAATGAGAAAATAGAAGAAAAACTGTAGAAAATTGAGAAACAATAGCTAATTCTGAGATTACTACTTCAACACAAAAGCAAGTTAAAATGATCTATAATTAGAGAGGTAGATCGACTCTCCCAAACATCCTAGCCGTCATTAGGAAGCCTTCCAAGAAAGAAAAATCAAATCACACAAAATCCAAGAACAACATAGATCGTCCTAACTGAACTCAACCCAATTCCCCCCTTATTCCTCTTTCTCTTATAATAAAATTTAATGTTGTTGGGCCCCACAAGGGGGCCGAAATATTTGCTCCAGGTCCCGCCGTATCATTAACATTTTCACATATATACTCTTTTCAAGTGGTTATTTAAATCATTAAAAAAAGATTTAATGGGTCTAGTTTGAATTATTTAGTTGTTTTCAACACTAGTCACATGCAATGACTTTTTTAAAACTGCATTGATCTCCTTGCTAGCATTTGGCTCTACACTAGGTCTTGATCTCTCTCCACATCTCTATTGAGAGGGAGACCATAGTGTGATTGTATGAAAAAAAGCAAAGCTAATTTTTGCTACTCCAATGATAACATGCATAATTTCCTCAATTTTTACTGTTAAATCTCTATTGTCAAAATCATGCATCACCACATAATGACATTTGTCTTAGTAAGCTTCATAGCCTCTCATATGAAAAAAATCATGCCTCACCTTTTTGTGGTTCGGTGAGGACGTTCCCTTGTAGTCTTATTGATATGATAAAATCAACAAAATTTGTTGGGATGTGTGACAATTTGCAAACTCGGTTAATGTATTTCTTGAACCCTCGTGGTGTGGACCATGCCTCACCACTCGGTGGCATTTGTCTGGATGGGCCTCAAGCCATTCCTATAGCATAACTTATGCCTTATCCATTATGAAATATGCCGGGATGAACGTCGTAACTTGATACAAAAAAGCCAACATAACTCACAGTCAGATATGTTGTCTCTTAGCAAACTCAAGTAATATATATATCGAATCTATATGACGTGAATTGTGCCTTGCTCCATTATGGCATTTATCGAGATGAGCCTTGTAGCCTTTATTATGGCATAATCTTGTCTTACCCCACTATTTCATCAATTGGGTGAACTTCAAAGTCTTCTTTACGTGAGAAAATCAACAAAAATCAAGTGGAGATGATCCATTTGTAGTCCTGCCTTTTTCTTAACAACATTTCAAGGCAGACTAAAGAAAAGAAAGTCAGAAACGCATTGTATCCATTATTCAAAAATTATTTGAGTTTAGCCTGCTACTAGTGACAAAAAAATGGCAAAGGATTTAAAAAAAGCTTATTAAGAAAGAAAAGCAATCAAATGACTTGTTTTTTTTATTGAATAATGACTCAACAATATAACTGTGGGTCCTACATAGTCAAAACACTTAGCTTATTGTTCTCTATAAAGGCAAGACTTGCGTCTTAAATGTTATAAAAAATGAAGGTGGATAACTCTCTGTTTTGGTGCACGATCGTCTCGAGGTCGAGGGTCAGCTCGAGGTACATTCACTCCAGCGTCTACGGTAGACTACCAGATTTGCGATAAAACAGGTCACTCGGCTTACAAATGTTGGTATCGAGCTGATTTTTCGCTACCTCCTCCCCCCGTTCAAGCAACGCTGCTTCTGCATCACTTCCCTCCACCAAGTGTCTGCTTGACACTGGAGCGACCTCTCATTTAACTTCAGATTTTTCTCAACTCTATGACTCACAGCCATATTCTGGACAACAACAAGTCATGATAGGGAATGGTGATCTATTACCTATTACACAAACTGGTAAAGGGCTATTACCCACTCCTTCTCATAAGCTTCGATTAAACTCTCTTCATCTCGTTCCTACTCTTCATCACAATCTTATCTTCCTCAACGAACTCATAATTGATAATGGTTGTTCTGTTCATTTTGATTCTTCTGGCTATACTATAAAGGATTCGACGACCAATCAAATACTCCTTCGCGGCCAAGCTCGTCACGGGCTCTATCCAATCTCCACTAAACATCCTCATTCCACTGCTGCTATGGTTGCGGTTTCTCCCACAGAATCTCTCTGGCATATGCGTCTCGGACATCCCTCTCACAAAGTCTTACAAAAACTGCAAAAATGTGTTTTTCCAAAGTTATCTTTTGTTTCTTCGTCGTTTCATTGTAATGCTTGTGACCTTGCAAAGAGTCACAAGCTTCCTTTTACTTCTTCTGTGTCTCGGTCTACTTCTGTTCTTCAGTTAATACACAGTGATGTATGGGGTCCATCCCCTGTTATCTCTTTACAAGGATATAAATATTACATCATTTTTATGGATGATTTTTCTCATTTATGTTGGTTGTTTCCTTAAACTACTAAATCCTATGTTCCTTCAATTTTTGCTCGTTTTCAACAATTGGTTGAGCGATAATTTAATACGAAAATTAAAATATTTCGCTCTTATGGTGGTGGTGAATATGCTTCTAAGCAATTTCAATCCTTGCTTGCCAATTCCGGCATTGTTCATCAACTAACATGCCCGTATACTCCTGAGCAGAATGGATTAGCTGAAAGGAAACACCGGCATATTATCGAAACTACTCGTGCTCTCTTATTTAACTCCAATCTTCCTCAAATTTTCTGGATACATGCTGTTCAAACTGCGGTTCATCTCATTAATCGTCTCTCTTCATTTTCAAATAAAATTTCGTCTCCATATCAAATGCTTTTTCATAAACAACCGGATTATAGTTCCTTTCGCATTTTCGGTTGCCTTTGTTATCCTTTACTTCCACATAATGCTCTTTCCAAATTTCATCCTAAATCCCTTCCATGTGTTTTTGTTGGTTATCCCCTTTCCACAAAAGGCTATATCTGTTACAACACTTCCTCTGGCAAATTTCTTGTCTCTCAGCATGATAAATTTCTTGAGCACGTCTTCCCGTTTCAACAGTCTCCACCTCGGCCTGTTTTGGCTTCATCACCTTCTTATCCTCCTCTCTTAACTTTGGTGCCTACTATGGTTCAGCACACTTCTCCAACCTCTATTATCTTCCTCAGTCTACCACTTCCACAGTCTACAATCATATCTGAACAGACTTCCTCTCTGTCTGCTTCCTCTGGTGTCGAGCCATCTTCCATACCCCTTGCAATGCAACCTTCGGTGACTGATCTTCCTTCTCATCCCATGCTTACGAGATCGAGAACTGGTAATTTAAAACCCAAGCATATTCTCAGTATGACTCATATGATATCCCGGTGGATCCCACCTGCTACTCTCACGAGGTTAAGTCAATTGCTTAGCGTAAAGCTATGTCTGATGAGTTTGAAGCACTTCAACATCAGGGAACCTGGAAGCTTGTCCCTCCACATCCTTCTGAAAATGTCTTGAGTTGTAAATGGATTTACAAATCTAAATTGAATTCGGATGGTTCTATTGTTAGGCATAAAGCACGATTAGTTGCTCGTGGCTGTCATCAGCAGTATTACTTAGACTATGAAGACACTTTTAGCCCAGTGGCTAAACTACCAACCATCCGAATTCTACTCAAAGTTGCTGTTACTCGTCACTAAAAGATTCTTCAGCTTGACGTGTCAAATGCTTTCCTTCACGGCAAGCTCCATGAAACAATTTTATGGCTCAACCTCAAGGCTTTGTCAATCCTTCAGCTCCGGGTCATGTTTGTCTATTACAGAAGGCTATTTATGGATTGAACCAGTCGCCTAGAAAGTGGTTTGAAACTTTTTCTACCTATCTTTTAAAATTTGGCTTCACTCATAGCACTGCAGATCCTTCACTTCTTTTATATCATCATAATTCTATTCATATTTACATACTTGTGTATGTGGACGATATTCTGTTGACTGGCAATCAAGATCCAACAATTGAGAGGCTTCTGCTTGACCTTTCCAATGAATTCCATATGAAGAACTTGGGTCCCGTCTCCTATTTTCTTGGTATACAAATCACTCTGACTCCTGATGGATTGCACTTATCACAATCCTCTTATGCTCGTGATCTGCTCACTCGCGCTGGCATGTATGATTGTAAACCAATCAGTTCTCCAAGTCCAACCAAGGTTTTATCATCATCGGATCGCCTGCTTCTTCCTGCTGAAGACGAACAATTCAGACATTTAGTTGGTTCGTTGCAGTATCTAACTATTACTCACCCTGATATCTCTTTCACGATAAATAAGCTATGTCAACATATGCACCAACCGCTTGAAGTTGATTTTAAGCTTCTCAAACAACTGCTTCGGTACATTAAAGGAACTCTTCTCTTCGGTCTTCCGATTCGATCTGGACACCTTGAGCTCTTTGCTTACTTTGATTCCGACTGGGCTGGTGATCCCGTCGATCGCAAATCTACTTCTGGCTATTGTGCGTTCCTTGGTGATACGCTTATTTCATGGTTGTTCAAGAAACAGAAAATTGTGGCTCGTTCCTCTATCGAAGCCGAATATCGTGCTCTTGCCACTGCTGCAACTGTCCTTATTTGGTTACGTTGTTTACTAGCAGAGTTTCACCTATCTACTTCTCAACCCAAGGTGCTTTTCTGCGACAACATCTCTACCATAGCTTTGGCTAACAATCCCATTTTCCATGCTAGGACTAAGCATATAGAAATTGATTTTCATTTCATTAGGGATTGTATTAAGAATCAAGTTTTAAAAATTACTCATTTCTACACTAATGATCAGTTGGCGGATTTATTTACTAAATCCCTTTCAATCCATCGATTTTCTCATCTCCGGAACAAGCTCACTCTTGCTGAAGCTCCGGCAAGCTTGCGGGGCCGTATTAAACAAACCACGCTCTCTGATGTTCAGCAAACCACGATCCCTGTCACAAAGACCTGAACATGATTCTATTTCCGCGCTTGATTACTAACAGCCTAATCTTGTCCGTCCAAGTGTCTTCTGCTTTTACAGTGTAATCATGAGTGGCATGTAATTATAAAAGCATGCTACAGTAAGGAAAAAGAAATAGATATGAACTTTACATCAGCTGCTTCTTCCTCGTATTTCTCCTGTGTATTTTCTCTGTTCTTTTCTTCTCCTTGCAGGTCGGCTTCAAAGCAGGACTCAACAGATATAAATGTTGAATATGTACGCATTTGTCAATCTGCTATATTTATTACTATTTGTTTACTTTTGCTTAATAGTAATTTATGTTTTGTATACGTGGCTATTAGTTGGACATAGAGGGGGCATTAAATAAATGAAATCCTACTTAGTGCTACTTAGTGCTTTCTTGGCTAAAGTTTTGAGCTTTATAAACCCATGGGTTAGAAAAAAATGCATCCAATGTGAAGATAAGGTGTTTGGTTGCCCTATCATAGAAGGAAAAACCACCTATCACTTTTGTATGAGTTAAAATGTAAAACATCACCTATTTTCTTTTTTTATCATTGCAACCAAGGTCTTGCTCAAAAAAAAAAAAAAAAAAAAAAAAAAAAAAAAAAAAAAAAAAAACATTCTAATAATAGAATAGCTCATTTCTATGAAAACAAATTTACACAAATGTTTTGGTGGTTAACTTTTTCAACTTCTATTCAGCACTCGCCCGACTCTAATATGCTTCTTTTCTTTGATAACTAGCTTTTCCTCTAAGACTATAAAGAAAGGATACAAAATAACTTTATGAAATTTATTTTTAAACATGCTTCTTCGAGCCAAACTTATAACACTTGGACAACTGATAGTCATGCTTTGCATTTGAGCTTTAATTGTTCATTTCCAATACCTCTAAATCACGAGTGACCATTCAATGTGCCTTTGAACTTTTCAGTGAAAGTAGTATGCATAAGATATGTTAGTGAGTTTACTTCAATGTTTAAATCATGCCTTCAATGCATATTTTCATCTTAATTTGCTTAAGATATGTTTCTAGAGGTAGTCCATAGTTTCCAATAAGATTCCCTGGGCATCACAATTTACAACCTTATGAAGTTGGCTGATGATATCTGCTAGAACACCTGAGATGTCTCAAACATATGATCTTGATTAAGTCTATCTCTATCACCCAAAGAAGTCCCCATTAAATCAATTTCAACCTTAAATGCTAAATCTAAGTATAATATTTGAGCTTAAACAATTTCCTTAGTCAAGAGTTTACTTTTATGAACAAGAGTATTGATTGGCTATGGTTTTGCCCATAGAAGGTCTCAATCCCATATATAAAATCTTTCTCTAAACATCAAGGACAATATGATTAAATTAAACCTAATCCTCATAAAAAAAAAAAAACTAACAGTTTACCCTCTCGTTCACATGTTAACTAGGCTCATAAATAAAGAATTGACTTTTTCTAAAAGATCATAAAACAATAAAGGGAAACACAATAAGTGAAGAGCTGATCCATACTAAAAATGACATCAAAGTTAAGGATGATCAAATCCATTAATAAATCATGATCTCCTTCCAACCTAATTGGACATGCATTGACCACCTGATCAATTACTAAAGAGTGTCCATTGGGTACTGCCACAACTAAATGATGTTATATCGATTCAATTATTTAGCCATAGACAATGCAAAAGAAGCTGGTATGAAATAATAATTAGTAGACCCAATATCTATCAATACTTTAACTAAAAGGTTGTTGTTGAGTACTTTGATGATTGAGTCTGAAGACTTGACCTCCTATCCAAGTCAAAGAAAATACTAGCCTTAAATTGTTGTTTTTGTTGCTCAGTCTTCTAAAATTGCTTTTGTTTATCCTCTTTGTCAAGACAACTCTTGGATAGATGATCTTGCTTATTGAAATTAGCAGGGGTGGCTACTTGCTTGATAGTGAATAACTTCAACAAATGTTACTGCACCTGAAGACCTTCACATTGGGATTGTCAGGCATCCCCAACATTCGATACCTGGGCGTATTTTTTAAAAATTAGTTTATGGTTTTTCAAAGCCTTATTGGAGTATAAACTCACCTTCTCTTGCTCTTTCCTCTTAGGCGCATGGGGCTTCCAACTTTAGCAGTGCAGAGCCTTATCAACCACCATAGAAAAGATTTACTCAAAATGTCTAGCTATGTGGTCTTCTTCTTCTGAAAGACTTGGTGCAAATCTAAACAAATAGTAGAATTTAGTCAGACGCTATGTCAAATCCATGTCTTCCTATTGCATAAAAGTAAACTCATATGAGTACCCACATTAGTAGTCATAGGTTCTTCTACAGACAAAAGTATTCTGCTAGTAGATATCCCTTTGCTAGCTAATTTAGCTCCACATGCAATCATGATTCTTCACCTCTGTGCAACCATGTTGGAAACCTAAATTAACACAGAATAGTGGTGGAAATTATTAATCAATGAATTTTTTTCCGCAAAGGTTCTTCAAATTTTACAAATGTGGTGTTTAGCTCTAACACACAAAAAAGATACATCTTAATGCGCTCGATGAAGTTTGTGTCAAGAACTAATAAATTTTACAATCACAAATACATTTTATGAACCAAAAGAAAAAAGTTTGCTATTAAAAAATAAGACTTGCTAGCTTATTATTGTGCCATCTGATGGAGTTCAATATTCTTAATATAATGAAAATGAAAATAATTAAATTCACATTAAAATGTACTATCACGTAAACTAAACATCAACGGAGACTTTAATAGTGACATGAATCTCCAATTCGATTAAGTGCATTGCAATAAATGTAATATTTAAATAAAGGGGATGTGCAAACAACACCTTAATAAGAAATCTCTCATCAACATCATGAGAATCCATTGGAAACTGCTCAACATTAATGATTATAATTCACATTTAGGTAACGAGCAATGCTTATAATAAAAAATTAATCATATCATGAAGGGATCATTCAATAATTGGAATGCTAGCTACCTTCAGTATCACGACGGCTTGATTGGATGTAAGAGCTCTAAAAAAATGTTACTCATATGCTTCCCTTAATAGTTCTGATGTTTTCTCTTTTTGAAATTGAAGCACATCCTCACCCTTAGACCTAATGGTTTATCGTCTCAATAAGGAATTGTTTATCTGTATTGGTCCCTACATCCATTCCAGAAACTTTCAAAATTAAACATTTTCATAACATTTTTTTACGTATGCATAGGAACACACCAATAACACTTGAGTAAATCTCATATATGATATTCAACCACAAGAGAGGAAGTGCAATGATAATGTGAATGAACTAACATATGAGTTGATTAAATGTGTGCAAAATGCAACAATATAAGTGCCTAATTAAATAACGTCATTTACTATGAAATGTATATTTTAACATTTTTTGGTTGAAGGTTTGCACAATAATTGCTAACATTATATGAAAATATGGAGCACATCATAAGGATTCCAATGATATAAAATTTATTCAAAAAGCTCCACTACATGCAAATGTGGGTCTCCGAAAGGATTCTGCTCGTGGGATTCGAATGTAAAGAGTATGACTGCACTATCCCGTAGGAAAAAATGATCGTTGGCCTTTATACTCGACATAAGCAGGCCAATGGAAGAGCAGATGGAGTTATACATACGATTAGCCATGGAAGATAGTGGCTTTCTCCTACACACTTCGATGGATAATAATATATATAACCCAAAAGTCACGAGATTTCCCCCATTCTATACATCAGCTCGGTTTATTTGATGTGGAAATCAGTTTCCCATGGGTGCAAGCCCTAGTGGTTAATTACAACCTAGGCTTTGACCTAGAAAAACTCTCGATTAATGATTGTGTATTATTCTCTTCTAAATTTGTTGCACATAGAAAGTTCATAAGTTATATTCCAAGAAAAGAAACCTTTCTCTTTATCCTTGGTGATGATTAAACATTTTCAAATGTATAAAGATGTGATTAAAATTTTGAGTTTAAAAGATCAAAGATCGAATTTCTATCCTAAGGGAAATGACAGGTTCAAAAATACATCAGAAGTAAGAAGACACACTGAGGGGTGTACAACCTGGGCTTATGCTTGCATGGAGTGAGCTGCCAACTAGCATCCAAAGCACAAAAATCATCCTATATGTGTACAAGATACGAAGACTCTATCTTAAGGAATCAAGAATTTGTAGTTTAAAAGGTTTAAATCATAGGCTCTGTAATATGCAAAGGAATATACCTAGCACCATGTACGATGCATGAAACAAATGCATAAGTAAAAAAACATCCTTAGGTCTACTAATATAATGCATGCATGTAAGTAAGGTGCACTGTTAAGCAAAGTGTGTAAAAAAATGCATGCATGACATCCAGAGTATAGAAAAATTAAATAAACACACTAAATACCCTCCAGGCAATGTATCTGCATCACATAACAATAGAAAACCATCCTAACGGTGCCCACTTCATGTGGGAAAACAACGATGTCCGTGACACAAATAGGTGGTCTATACTACAGGCCTAAATGACCCTAATGGTCTTTAAGACTCACAGAAGGTAGGGGGTATCATACCTAAAACCCAGAGAAAATGGAACATCCTAGCGGTGTATATTTCGTGTGGGAAAAATAACGTTGCGTATAGTACAAATGGATAGGCCTACACTACAAGCCTAAGGTGACCATAAAGGTCTCTAGGGCTCACAGAAGGGAGGCAAGCTTTGGCCTATAGAGTCAAAGCTACGTTAGTGCAATAACCTATGGCCAACTACCACTATAGGAAAGTCACTAATTTCCGGCGGAATTTTCTAGCGGCTTTCTGGCGATCACGTTTACGGTGGCTTTTTCAATTTTCCGATGGCTTTTAAAAATTTAATGAAAATGAATAAAATTTTAAGTATTTAAATGATTTAACAAAAAATAATTAAAGTTACATTAACTATTTAATTAATTTTTAGTTTAAAACTAATTAGTTAATTAATTTTTATTTTATATTAAATATTATTTTTTATTTT